CAATACACTACTCTCTCTCTCTCTTACTACACACACACACACACACACACACACTCTCTCTCTCTCTCTCTCTAAACTAATCAAGCAATTGTTCCTACAGGCTGGAAAAGGAGGGGGCGGGGGGAAAGAATGCGTGTGTAGTGTTCTTATATCCATTTTTCAGTACTCAAAAAAAGCTTCGATCCCATTGGTAATGCAGACCAAAAATTACCTAAATAGATTCCCCTTTTTTATTGTCATCTTCTTTTTCCCCCCATCTCGCATCTAGTTCCCATTACACTGAGACACATCCCAGGTTAGCATAAAAAACGTGGTCTACACACCAATTTTATACCAGTATAATGCCTTCTGTGGATGCAGTTATACCTGTATAAAAATGCCTTGTTACCTCTATAGCTTATTCTCTCCTTCCCATACAGGAATAGCTATACCTGTATAAACACTTTTATACCATTATAATTGCGTCCACACATGGAGGGCTGTACCATTTCAACTATACTATAACTATACAGTTAAATCAGTACAACTTGCGTGTGTAGACAAGGCCTGGGATGCAAATTGGGGTCATTAGCTTGCCAACAGAATGGCCCTGTCAAAGGTGCAAGGTCTCTCTGAGCACTTAATTTTATATTACTCTCACACAGTGGGGTGGGGGGTGGCGGTGGCAGAGGGGGAGGTGAGGAACAACTCTAACTGCCAGACAGGTGTCAGCCATGAAGAACCCTACATCTGTCTAATTCTCAGCAGATGCAGTTACAGTTTGGGTTTTGGAGGAAGGCAGCCTGCTCAAGAGAGACAGATCTGCTCAGAAATTAATTCCTCAGGTACAAGGTATAAGCTGACTGCTGGGCTGATGGAAAATGACAGCCTTTCACCCTTGAGCTGAGAAATCCTTCCTATCAGATAAAGATGTACGATGTGCTACGGATGAAATAAGAATGAAGAGTAAAATAGAATATGCAGAAGGGTTATTTTCCCCTTCTCTTGGAAATGAGTGTCTCAAGTGATTTCCCCCTCCCCTCTCTTTTTGAAACCCACAGGTTATGAGCAGTCGCTTCCTACCTTATGACAACATAGTCACAGATGCTGTGCTAAGCCTTGACGAGGACACCGTGCTTTCAACCACCGAGGTAAGACCCATCCTCTTGAAATCTCTGCGGCTTTTCCAGCCTGGTGCCCACCCTTCTTCTTACGACCTGTTTGCCAGAGCGTGTGTGTCTTATAATATTTCCTGCTCACACCCCAGGTTTAATGTATTGCATTTGTCTCAAAAATCTTGCCGCCACCTGCCAGCAGGAGAGGATTTTTTCATGGTTAATTGGCATCGTTAGCATGTGGTTCTTCCCTTCTTTATCATTTTAGTAACATAGACGGGTGTGGACAGCTAACAGCAGTCTGTTTTAGCATTATATTTCCACTGTGCCGATCGTGGTTCCTCCCTTTCCTACACATTAGCTTCAACGGTGGGACATTATTTCTGCTTCAAAGACAGTATTTCTGCCTACAAGTGTTTTGATTTTTCTCCTACACACATGCGCTAACTGTATCACTGTACCGTAGAGCTGGAGATACATAATGGTTGAGACATTCCGGCATTTGTGCCCGGAGCAAGATTGCACTAAAAAAAAAAAGGCAGAGAAAGGAAAGTTTTTGTAGAAAACCAATTTTTACAACTGGGATGAGTATTGATTTCTGGAAGCTTGTCCTGAAAACCACAGAGGAGACTAATGACTGTTTTATATAGAAGTACAATGTATCGGAAATACATTATTAATGGTGGCTATTGAAAAGCTTGGAGACTTGATTTTCTTTTCAGTCTTCTTTTCTTTTCCCCCTCCTTCATCACATCCAGAACCATTTCTTTCTCCCCACTTTCCCTCACAGTGCTGCTCTTACTATTCTCAGTAGTTGTAGCCCTTTAGATGATACCATTACGGCTTACGTTAAGGCAGGGATGCTCAAGTTTTGCCAGACTGAGTGCTGCATTGGCAGCTTGCTATAAGCCCTCAGACTACACATAATTTACCTCAGAGAGTCACCTTGCCAGTGTGGAACTACTAGTCCCAGCATGCAGCTGATCCATGG